AAGTTATGGAAGCTGTGAAAGATATAATGTAAAAGTTATGGAAGCTGTGAAATAATAATCCTTTATTATTTATATGGAATATAATTAATCATATCCTTTATACACTGTTTGCAGTATTTTCTAAAATATTCATCCTTGATACATGGAATTAAAATCTGTCTATCATAGCAACAAAGTTTTAAAAATCACATGTTATTATAACATCTTCTCTTAAATGTCTTTATCTACCTAATGATTATATTTTTCTAGTTAGCGCCAACGAACTCCAGACTTGAATTTACTGAAGTGTCTCAGAATATGATAAGATTCTATATCGAGGTATCAAGGTGATATTTGGGTTTTCTGCCTTACAGTATGTTCACATTGCTTAAGTTTGATAAAAGTTATGTATTTATTTTACAGGTATTTAAGTAATCACTTAATGCCAATAATTAAATCTAATCCATATTGTGTTATATAAAGATATTCTATTTCAATTAAATATTATAAGTCCTGGCATCCTTGATAGGTATCTAAATAATTCAGAAATTTCATTTCGTAGATACAATAACTGAATGGGCTTTTGGATTAAACATACTGTCAGATGCCAAGTAGAGCAAAGCTAGCTATATCAAAATACTACTACAGAAAAAAAAATTTTTACAGAATTTTAATTCAAATTTCTGTATTTCCAAAAATCTAAGACAATAATGCTTGACACTAATGTAGTGCAGGCCAAAAAGCCAGAAAAATATAAATGTTTATAGTTCTATAAATATGTCCAGGCTGTTAACTGTGTATCTCTTTAACTAATTTATATTACTATTATAATTGAATCGGGGTCTTCAGTATGACCAATTTTTTTCTTACAGGGTCTCTATTTCGATTGAATTATCATTGTTTACTTTTCATTTACTAAATTTTAATAGGTACTGCTTATCACCAAGCTTGGTTTATAAAGATTCCTTAATAAATCTTAAATTCATCTAATATGATCTTTCGTGCACGTTGTAACATTTTGGAGGCCTCAGTCAGAGGGTAGTAGCCATCCTGGGTTCTAGAGCCTGACTCAGTAGTCTGGGGAGGCCACCGTGATGATTTACACGGCCCCAGCTGCCAGTCCTGGCTTCCTGGCTCGCAGGATTTGCACTGACCTCTGCCTATATACAGGTATCTCATCATTCAAATTTACTTGTTTTGAGTACTCATCTGGGACTCAAGAGGCTGGGTGCAACACAATCTCTTGAGTCAGGGTCCATACAAGACATCATTATGGACCATTAGCTTTTAAAATTGAGTGAGTGTGGTGGCCACCTATGTCTGTGTTGATGTATGTCTTTTGTTACGATTATTTGAAATTTTACTTTTACAGTCATCTAAAGTGTATTTTAAGAAAAAAAAAGAGGTGTGTGTGTGTTTTACTGCTTGGTTTCAATGTTCCTTGAGTTCAAATGAGAAATAGACACATAATAGATCTTAGTTTTATGCCATTTTTTTCCAATTAGAATTATTATAGAAATTTTTATTTTAATTGTTATCATACTGTCTGTTTTTACTGATTAGGAATTGCTATACTTTTAATTGATTTTTGGAGTTTGTTGTTACAGAAATATTATTTGAAAGAACAGATGTCTGTGACTGAAATATTCCCTAGTCATCTTGGCAAAATCTTTATCATAATCCACCTTGTATTCTCCATCTATATATGTGAACCATCTGAAAGACCATGGTAAACTTATGTTACTACAAACAACAGAAGAGAGTTTTGCTAGCCTCAGTGCTACCCTTGCTGAGGCCAAACAGACACTTCCACCTGGAAATGTTTTAAGAGCCAAGTCTGTGCAGAGGATCAACACCTGCCATGAGGACACATCACAAATACATCTACTGATCTACCCTCTACCACTGAAGACATTCCTGCACAGGACTCAAGCTACCTTCCAAAAGGACTTCTGATAAATAACTTATCTTTCCCTTACACAGGGATCCTGAGATTCCCTCTCCTTTTCCCAGAATGACTCTGTGAATATTGCAATTTGTATTGTGTATTGTTACTAATTGTCTTAATTTTTTCCTGATGCTTGATATTTTTGTCATCTTAAAAAGACCCTCATATATATGGTTACCTGTAAATTTGGCTGAGTTGTGGTATGATGATGCTGCTCTTTATACTTTGGAATCAGTTTCTACAGCTTTATCAGATCCTAAATGTTTTGTGATTTCCTTATTTTTAAGTCTCACTTCCTTTATTACCCTTATTGAATCTTTTACAGCTTCAGTGACTGTCCTGACAGAGCTAGTTCATACAGCCCATCATGTTAATACCCTTTCTCGTAATATTAGTCTTGCTTTGTTTACCTAGGAAGGTATTGATAAAAATTTAGAGACTAGACTAATTATTAGAAGAGGCAATAATTTATATTAGCAATGAAATTCTATATTTAAAAATTAGATTAGGTGCCACTTGTCATAGTAATTAAAAATGGATCTGTGTTACTCCGCTACCTTACACTTACTCAAATGTCTCCTGGATTGATGTTAAAGCTCATCTCCATAGTGTATGGAATAGTACATCTAATATTTTTAGCATCCAAGAATTATATGCCCAAAATTCTACTACCTCTCACTCTCACCTTCAGGCCATTTCCACGGGAGGTGTTGCTAATCAATTTTTACAATCTCTTTCATCTTTTATTTCTAAGAAGAACTTTTCTTCTTTCTTTATTAATTTGGGAATCACGCTAATTGTTCTCCTTTCTGTGTTGTTTCTTGGCCCAGTCATCTTCTAACATTTGAGCTCCATGATTTAAGCCACTCACAGAGCACTGCACATCCTCCAACTTAATAATAAAAAAGGGGGAGATGCTGGGGTCCGCGCAGTGGGTGTGGATGACACGAGGGTGTGATGAGAACAGCTCCCCTGTGCGGCAAGGCCCGGGGGAGTTTCCAGCTGTGTGGCAAGGCCCGGCGGAAGTCTCTCCGACCACCTTGATACTGTTTTACCCCCTGGCTGCATGGACACTCAAGCACCCCACTAAGAATTTTGCAATCTATTGAGGCAGTGTTTGCCCCTGTGGGATGGCTTTTATCACCAACGTGAGCTTGAGAGTTAGTGTCACTGATAATATCTTGGTGAGTGGGCCTTTGACAATTTACACACAGGAGCACAATTAAACCCATGCCATTTCTGGACACCTTATTGTGTACCTACCCATTGCCCTGAAATCGGGCCCAGACATATAGCACACCTTCTGGGAAGGGGCTTGAAAATATCCTAAATATTAATACAAGTGATGGGAGTGAGAGCTGAAACTGCTATGGCAATAAATATAGTTATTGTTATCTCAAAGGCTAGCCTGTCTTTGCAATTTTTTTGGAATATAGAAAATGTAACTGTTTTAGCCGCTTTTATAATTTTTAGCTAGAGGATTAAGGATGCTTTTATTAAAGAAAAATGCTTTTGATTATTGTCTTATTGTTTATGGGGTTGTAGGGGTCTATAGTTGTAGGGAGATTTAACATTTGAAGTTTCTATTTTAGATTTTAGGTTTTTTCCCTTATAACCTATTTTCCCATTAAATGATGGGTAAATTGTAGAAGTAAAAATGTGGTGGGAAAGTACTACTGATTAGCAGATAATCGCATGTGCCTTGGCCTTGGAGTCCTGGCTGTTGCTCCATGGCTACTGTTGAAGGATAAACAATAGCTTGCTTTGAAGAATATGAATGCAGTATTTTGCAAAATTATCTTTAGGAGCACCTGCTTAGCCTTGAGTACAGACAGAGTGACCAAATGTCTGTACATGCCCCCTTAATTTTGAAAAGAAAAAAAAATAGAATAGTTGCTTGTGTAGAAGCTTGAGAAGGGTTTTGAGAAAATAAAAAGGACAGTTTTTTCCTGAGCGGTTGGAAGAACGCACCAAATGCCTGTGTCTGTGTCTTTCTTTATCGCCGACTCCACGCACCCTTCCCGAGCTCCGAACTCGGCTGGAGCTGGACTCCGGCATGGAATGACGGAGAAGATGCCCTTATGAGATTCCTTCCAGTGTCACCTTTCTGTACTTCAATAACCTTGGCCTTGATACCTCTAGTTCATGTTATTAATCTTGAGTGGGGAAGATGAGTAGGGGAAAGGAGAAGTGGGGAGAAACCCCTTGTGTGCAAGTGAAGATATGTAACAAGCAAGAAAATTGGGCTAAATATATATATTTCATTATTCACTGGCATAACTATAACCTGATGAACTTATCTGGTGATAATGGATGCAAAACCTGTAAGCTCTAGGCATATCCCTGCAAGTTAATACCAGTGCATGATTACTGGAAACTGTTACCACTTCTCTGAATTTTGAGTAAAATACATGCTATTTAAGTAAAGTGGTTTATCACCATAGCAACCATTTCCAGAGTCACACATTCAAATTATAGACCTGCACAAGGTCCAAATGACAAAATTCTGATTTAAGTTCTCTGCTGTAGTTTGCTTGCAATGGTCACCCACCTTCTCTCATGTTCATTCCCCATGACTTCCGGAAGGAAGGACAGAAAGAAAACCAAAGGAAATAAGAAAAATCAACTTCCATTATAATGATTATTTATATAAAGAACTGGATCTTGTTGGGAGTTAATGAAAGTAGAATTTACTTTGAACCAAAATACAGGTCTTTGGGTTCATCATGTATCCATAACTCATTTTTTCTTGCCAAGTAATCCTCTATTATATGGATATATCAAAATTTGCTTACTCATTCTTATTTAATGGACACTTGGATTATTTCCAGTTTATGGCTATTATAAATATATGACTCCCGCTCTACGTAATCATTGAACTTAAAAATATACATGCAGGTCACATGGTTAAACGATAGCAGCCCACAGGATGGAGAGTACTTTCCATCTAACGCAGGTCCTTATGGACAACAAAAAAGAGCAGGAAAAAAAAATGTTTCGAATGCTGTGAGGGTGCTTCCCAGTTTGGAGACTAAACAACGGTTCTCGCAACTTGTTTTGTGGGCCCTCTTACCTGCTTTCCTTCCTCTCCATCTGAACTGTCATTGGCATCATGGGCATTGCCTTTGAGATGGTAGTTCTTCAATTTTTCTTGAATGGACCAATAAGTCTTCTCATCTGCTGTGTTCTCCTCATCGCTTTCTGGATTATTTTTCCATTCTTTCATCATTTCTAACACATTGTATGGTCTCCCTGAAGCCAGTGTGTTGCCCTAATAATTAACAATAAATGCTTAATGTTATAAATAGCTCAGGCAATTTAAAAGATCTATATCTTCTAATAATATACTCCTCCAAGTTCAGAAAAATTCACATGGAAAAATGAGAATGCAAAACTCTTGGTGCCCATCAGGAGCACACTGCGTGTGTCCTGACACTGTGTGTGCCCTGACCCTGCGTGTGCCCTTACACTGCTTGTGTGACAGCAACTGGTCAGGGTGTTGATGGGAAATACTCAGACTTGAAGGACCATGAGGCATGCTGGAGTATGGCACACCACACAGGCCATTCCCCAGCACCTGCAGACCCTTCATAGTACCGTTCCTGGAAGACTGACGAGGAGGCTGGAGGAATGAGCGCTCCCAAGATGAGTCCAACACCAAGGATCAGTCTGTATAAGGTCAAATTGGCTAAATTCCATTGATAAGTTGAATGTCACACCTAAGAATACAGACACTTGTTTGAAAGCCCTTATCTGTCTGGATGAGTTAGACAGAATATGGCTGTTTGTTGTTCCTGACTCAATCTCCTTATCCCAGATATAAGTATAGCATATTAACGCTGCCCATTTAATATTAACTATACTTTCACAAATACAATATCCCACCTAATGTGCCAACAACGCATACTCAAATGACTCCAAGTTGACTAGGAATGTCATAAATAGTTTTGCTACTAACTCAGACAGTTAGAAAACAATTGAACAAGAAATTAGGATTCTCATTTAAATTAAAATGAGAAGTTCAGATGTGGGCACCATTATGGAGTGGCCCGAAACGATCCAGTATGTGGGTAGCATTCAGGAATAAGCAACAGAACACAGATAACCATGAGGCAGGGAATTTTTAAAACACTTATTTTTAATTTATTTGCAAGGCAGAGTTACACAGAGAGGAGAGACAGAAAGACAGACAGAGATGTTTCATCCACTGATTTAATTCCCCAAATGGTTGGCTCAGGCTGAAACCAGGAGTTCAGAGCTTCTTCCAGGTCTGTCACCAGAGTATTGAGGCTCAAGCACTTGGGCCATCTTCCACTGCTTTCATAGGCATATTAGCAGGAAGTTGGATTGGGAGTGCAGTAGCCAGGTCTTGAACTGGTACCCATATGGGATTCCAGCATCGCACATGAAAGGTTAAGCTACTATGCAAAATGCTAGCCTGGAGACAGGGTATTTCAACAGCAGCTATCTGAATATACTATTGAAGATATGTTTGTTAAGCTGAACATATTTGTGGCTAAAGATAGAGGCAACATTGAAAACACAATGGCAATAACTATATGAGGATTAGCATGTTGTTAATTCCCTAGGTTTCTTCTGTTTCACTCTGTCTTAAGAAAGTCAATGTTCTTATCACCTCCATGGTTCCTAGTGCACCCTGCACTTGTTCCACTCATTCATCCTGCTCCCACTTAGTGCAGAAGCCCTCTTTATTCCTTTTTGCCAAGTCACGGCCTATATTTCCTTTCAGGTTCACTTCAAGAATCATCTCTGTGAGGTATTCCAGAACTGCCAAAGATATAGCCTCGTGACAGTCAGGCAGAGCACAGGTGGAAGCCCAGGGCAGTGCCCTGGAAGCTCTGAGATCAGTGCGATGGGCAGATAATCCTCACACCTCAACAGCTGGTCTAAAGGGCTCTGGCTCATCCCTATGACCCACCTGCCATCCATTAAAACTTCCTGGCTTCATCCCTACCGCCAGCTCTGCTTTTTAGGAAACATCACAGTGTCTAGGCTCCTGGAACGCAAGTGCACAGAACTTTTCCTGAACTTGATTCTTGGGTTGGCAGCTACATTAACTGTGTCTATAACCCTAGTCCTCAAAGCTCCTGCAGAACAAACCGCACAGGTAACTCTGGGTACTGTAGCAGTCACTAATGCTGTTTACCTAATATTTCTCCTTTTTTGTATAAAGGTATATGGCAGAATTTCACTTCCCTTTTCCCACTGAAACACGATCACGTGATTTACTCTGGTTTATTTCACTTAATAGGTGGAAACAGAGACGGTGTATGTTCCTTTATGTCCCAATTTCTGCTTGGAAACTACAGAAACACAGAGATGGAGGCTCCCTCTGCCTGGGTCCTTGAGTGGGTGCAAAGTAACAGACAGCCGCTTCCCTTCTCTCGGCAGATGACAGCACAAGGTACTAAGCACATGGAGATGTGGGGCCATTTGCTATCACAACCTAATACAGAGTTCAAAGTAAACACTGACATTCTGTAAATCGCTTTCAAGAGTAAGCTTAATCTACAACTGCCATGACCAACAAAATTATAGTTACTGCAAAACATGTATGCAGTCAGTACAACATGACCGTCATTTATTTAGGCAGCCCTTGCTTTGCATAGTCGTAAGACACATTATTTCAGTTAACATAATTTAGCTAAACAGCATCAGTGCCCCCTCACCAAAAGCAAAGTCACCATGCTATATTAACTTTTTTCTTTTTTAATTTTTCATGATGATTACATAGTTGATCAGGGTGGGAAGGATTGGGCGTTAGGGAAAGGCAGGTGAAAACCTTGTTTCCAAATTCTCTATTTCTCCTTGTTTTTAGGATAAGGAGAGAGATAAAGCGGGGGAAGTCACACTTGGTCTCCCAAATGTCTCAGTACCCAGGAATGGGGAACTGCCACATGGTATTAACCCAGGGTCCAGATGTGTGCACGTTCTGAGGGTTCTACCCAAGTGGTTTGAATAGTTCTGAAATGCTGTCGATTTTTGCCAATCCAGTGATGATGCAGCCCTCCCAATGGCCACTGGCTGACAGTCAACCTCAGGTCTCCATTCACCAAGATTTTTGCAGTCATCATTTGGCTGGGGTGGTTGTCCAATTTGTTCTGTTATCCTTCTGCTACGGAAACAAATGAGCTACCATATTCTCCATGAGCATCAGGGTCTGCATCCACTGCTCTGCCTTTTTCACTGAGGTCATATTCTTGCAGGTGGTCCCAAGGACCCGGGCCAGGTGACCCAAGCCCCGCTGGATCACCTGCCCCCCAGGATTCATGAACCTGGCACCCACCACGCAAGCTGGCCAAGAGACCTGAGCAAGGCGATCAGAATCTTGCTGGATCCCTCATCCACTGGGCTAACAAACCCAGTGCACACCCCAGGATTTGGGCCAGGCAACCCAATTCTCCCAGATCTCCTACCCCCAGGGCTCATGAACCGGCACCCATCGATCCCAGGCAGCCATGGCTTGCCTCACCTCAGCATTCCACTATTGTATTGAGCAGCCTGGCTCAGTGTAGCCTGCCCACAGTGGGTGCTGCAGCCTAACCCAGCCCAGCCGGATCTCTGTCCCAGTCCTAATGTGAAGTGGCTGGTGTAGCGGCCTGATCTGGCTCCTCTTGCACCCTGTCTTGGTTCTCAGACCCACCAGTGGATGTTATGAACTGACTCAGCCTGGTCTGTCCCCAGACCTGAGCCACATGTACCCTGGTGGGTACTGTAACCTGGTATGGTCTGGGCTGCTCCTTGTCTTGATTCTTGCACTCACCTGCAGGGAGGCAGGGACTGCATCCTGACGGAGTTTCCCAAGCTCCTCTGTTGGATCTCCTCCCAGTGGTAGCTCTCGCTCATGCCAGTTGGCCTTTGGCCAGGTTGACTTTGTCTACCTCTTGTTCTGGCAGGAACAGTGTTCTTGCTCAACTGGCCCACACCCATTCTGGTTCTTATTGTTGGGTGTTGCAGCTCAGCCACATCTGGTCCATGCCTAGACAAGCTTTCGCATCGTTCAGCGGGGGTCAAGCCCATTCTACACCCACCCTGGCTCTCATGAGTACCAGCATGTGCTACAGTCTGGCCCAGTCTGTCTCTCCCCAGACCCAGTCCATACCCATGCAGAGGAAGACTGTAGTCATGTCCAACCCAGTTCGGTTCTTGTCCTCACCAGTGGGAACCCCAACCCAGCTGGCACATCCTGTTACCTCCCCAGTCAGGCTTGTTCCTACCCACAGCTCTTGGGTATACCAGCAGAGACTACAGTTCTACAGGGTAAGGCTAAATGCCCCCTACAGATTCTGCTACCAGACTGATTCTTTCGGGTGCTAGCTATTGTCATGGTCCATCCTAACATCACCCATCCTCTGTTCCACCTTACTGGTAGGCCCCAGCCTTTGCTTTAGTGTGCACACAGTAAGTGGTGCGTGGCGATGGTCGATGATAACTACCCCAGCTCAGGTCTCCCCCGTGTATTCATACTTTGGTCTGACCCATAAAAGCCCTCCGGTTCCTCTCTCCAAACCATTTGGCCTCAGCCCCTTGCTTACCTACACGCACAGTGGCCTTATCCATGGAAGTCCCTCAGCTGTGATTCTTCACCTGGCAGGTCATTGCTCACTACTACCTGCGCTATCCCCCAGTCTCCCTGCAAATCCCCTCCCTCAAGCATATAGAGTGCACCACCGGGCAGCATGAGGGCTTTGCCCAGGCCCTCACTCGGGGAGCCATGCGGCCCAGTTGAATCCACCCGTGCTGGTCAAAAAGCTTTCAGGCTAAGGAGAACCTGTGGGCCTGCTGACCTTCCCCTCCCCCAGGGAGGCTATATTATCTTTTTTTAAACAAGATTTATTTAGTTTTATTGGAAAGGCAATAAAACTTTATACTAAGAGGAGGAGAGACAGAAAGGAAGATCTTCCGTCCGATGATTCACTCCCCAAGTGAGCGCAACTGCTGATGCTGTGCCAATCCGAAGCCAGGAGCCAGGAGCCTCTTCCGGGTCTCCCACGCAGGTGCAGGGTCCCAAAGCTTTGGGCCGTCCTCGACTGCTTTCCCAGGTCACAAGCAGGGAGCTGGATGGGAAGTGGAGCTGCCGGGATCAGAACCGGTGCCCATATGGGATCCTGGCGCGTTCAAGGCGATGACTTTAGCCGCTAAGGCCATGCTGCCGGGCCCTTTCCCATGCATTAAGATCATTTGAATAGTTCTAGCCTACGCTGTCATGTTCAATGTCCTGCATTACCATGAAAAGCTAGACAGCCTATA